GGGGGGGGGCATGCAACTTCTCTCAACTCACTCATTGTCAAATGTGCCATCACCTGAGGTCCCCTGAGTAAAGGACCTCCCTTTCCACTCACCCTCAATCCCACAATATGCGGAGCGGCCGCACAGCCAAAGCACTTGCCCCACAACTCCCTTATCAAACGCAGGACAAACTTAACAGCACTAGGCACCATCCACCAGCAAAATCATGCCATGAATGCCAACACTGGCCAACTCAGCACACAATTTATTGCCTGACAGCCTAAAAGCAGCCGCACATGCGGGCAGCTATCACAGGATAAAACTACCTCTCTCCCCCACCACAAATTCAGCGGCGCTGGGCAGCACAGCCAGATATACGATAATCATGGTAGTCGTAGAATAGTTTCAACCCTTGCACAATAAATAATAATCTGAGAAGCGTTCAAAACGTATGATCGCTCAAAGCAGCACATCGATGCAGCCTACACAAAACCCAAGCCAGTCGCTCTCGAGGAGCCTTAACCAATGCTGGGGCTGGGGGTCAGCGCCTGCCCTGAAATAAAGAAACACTGACACTTTGAGGGCCCAGCTCTCACTCACTCCCTGGCTGCAAACTTAATGCGAGTGATACGAAGTCAGAAAGATGCAGACTTATTTGCAGAATTATTCCCATGCTTATTTGCACCATTAACTGCCTATTTTTTCAGCGTCTGACAGCTTTTCAGCAAAAAAAAAACAAAAAAAAAAACATTCTGAGCTTCCAATGCAATCATTTCATATTGCAGACCTGGCCACGCAGCCCCCCGCCCGCACCAACGCCTGCCCTGCGAGGGAGGAGGGGCACAGCGACTCACAGGTGACGATGGGCTTGTTCTCCATGGTGTATATCACCGGCGGCTTCTCGGCGCCCTCCTCCTCCTCGGCGGCCACCGCCACGGCGGGGTCCATGGGCGGGCGGGGTCCTCAGCCCCGGCTCCCCCCCCCGCGCCGCGCCATGGAACCGTCCCGGCCGCCCGTTCCCGACCAACCCCACCCCCCGCCCGCTCTGCGTCCGCAGCCCCGCGCCGGAGCCAGGAGTGAGGCTCCGCGCGTTCATCCGCTTCCTGGATCACTGGCCCTGCATTACCGCTTCCGGGCGGAGGAGGAGCGGGGAATTAAGGGGGAAGGCAAAGAAGCTACCGACAGAAATTATATTAAAGGGGAGGACGAAATGGGAAGAAGAGGGGAAAGCAAAGGCAGGCGTGCAAGAGCCAGGCAGCCCTTGCGCATGTGCGAATGGGACCCAGTTCACGTTCCTCGCTGGGGGAAGGGCATGGTTGGGCGCATGCGTAGTGTGTGCGGCGCCGAGCCGCGCAGGCGTAGGTGTAGTCGCAGGCGCGCGTTGAGTGCTGCCTGGAGCTGAGGACCGCTGGGCTCAAGAAAATAAAGCTTGCTGCTCTGTCTGCCACAGCTCTTCCCACGTAGGGGCTGCCCCGGGGGTGCCTGGAGAGCCTAGCCAGGGGGCCAAGATGCACCCCCCAGGTTTGCCCCTAGGAATCCCCAGGGTCCAGCCTATGTACAGCCTTTGGAGCCCCCCTCCCTCCTAGTCGTGGGATCCTAAGGCAGGCTACCTAGTCCAGCCCTCTGCCGATGGCAGGACCCCCCTGACCAAAGCATCCCAGCCACATGAAATGATTTGTGTTGTAGCGATGTGATGCGATGCCGTGAGAGTAGAGCAATGCAAAACTCTGGAACTCTTGGTTCAGAAATTATACCTTGTATTAAACAAATTATCTTTTTCTGCAAGCTTTCAGGCACACATGCCCTTCTTTGGGCTCAGGGAAAATTAAAGATGGCACAGAGTCCCCACAGGTAGAAAACAAACTTCATTTTTGCACAGAGAAAGTTGAAGGTGGAAGTCTGTGCCCAAAAGCTTGCAGAAAAAGATAATTTATTTTGCAAATTTTTTTGTTGGTCTAATAAAAGGCATCATCGCTGAACGAAGAGTTCAAGAGTTTTGCATTTCTTTTTGTCTCAGACCAATACGGCTACCAAATACATCCATGGGAGTAAAGCAGCGTTGGAGAGGATAATGCTCAGGACCTACCTAGGGTTGCTGGCTGTAGCTGTGCTGATCTAAGGATATAGGCAGACAAGGGTTTGGGGTAAATGTGATATCTTTTATTCAACAAACTAAGCTGAAAAAATTATTCTTTGCAAGCTTTCGGGCACAAACCCTTCAGGTATATATACCAGCAGACTATACATGCCTGAAGAAGGGTATTCATGCTTCAAAGCTTGCAAAGAACAATTTTTCCAACTATTTAGTTGGTCTAATAAAAGGACCTACCCAGTATACTTTGTCTACTTTTGCCTGTGGCAAAATAAGAGTCACTTACAGCTCAGTCTGGTGACGGGAGCTTGATGAAACCAAGCTTTGTAAAGCTTGCCTCTTCCCAGAGGCAACCATGGAGTGAAAGGGAAGTGCTGGTAGTTTCTGAGGCAGGACTGGAGTCTACAAAGTTTGAGAACTGCTGCTAGAGAGAAACACCCGTTCACTCCTGCTTCTTACATGTTCCCTCACAGCCACTCCAGTTCAGAAAGGGGCTTAGGTTTGCATTCTGAATAGAGCCTTTGGTTACGTTAGCAACAAAAATTAGTCCCTTAATAATAATACATATAAAAGCCCAGTTCCCTAGTCGTACAATGAATACCCCACATTAATTGGCTTTAACACACTTGCCAATTTTTAATGGTTCTCGTTGGGTTGTCCTGAACACCCGTCACCCCTTTTGTTTATTTATTTTGCTGTGCTAGATGTGTCACTACATTCCCCCTCCCAGATACAGTGATCCCAGAAGCAGTTCAGTGTGAATCACAAGGATTAGCATGTGAGAGAAGGGAGGGATTGTGAGAGAGAGTTTCAAGGGAGTTGAGATGCAGAGGCCAGTGATCATACTCAATGGTAATAAGGCAATCCTATGAAGGAAAATGGTCACAGAGCATGACTCAGTTTTATAAAATCAATCATAAAAACTAAGGCTGGAAGGGACCTAAGGAGGCATTTAGTGCAATCCCATGCTCAAAGCAGGACCATCTCCAACTAGATCATCCCAGCCAAGGCTTTATCTAGCCAGGTCTTAAAAACCTGTAAGAATGGAGATTCCCCAACCTGCCTGTGTAACCCATTCCAGTGCTTCACCGCCCTCCTAATGAGAGAGTTTTTCCTAACATCAAACTTAAACCTCCCTTGCTGCAACTTGAAACTATTGCTCCTTGTTCTGTCATCTGCCACCAGTGAGAACAGTCCAGCTCCAGGCTAGTTTTAGTTTCCCTGCTCCCTACTGAATTGTCCAAGAGGTCCTTATCTCAGAGGAATGGGTAGGAATACAGAAATTGGAACCTGAACTGTATAAAAGTTCCCCACACAAAGGCAGAGGGGTGGGAGTCTGAAACTTGCCTCAAACCCTGAAGACAGATTCTGGTAGTGAGTATGTGCGTGTATTCTCTGCTGTATTTAACTGTTCTTATTAACACTGACTGATAACATCCCAAAAAACTGGTATATAGCTTGGAGGAACTTGCTTTGGTTTCTCTTGTACTTCTCTGGATAAAATAAAAACCCACAGAGAGATCCTGGTGTAACAACCTCTACCCAGGATCTCTTGAACAGCTATTGACACCACTTCATAAAAGCAGGATGTTGGGTGCTGTAATTCCCCTGCTTTACCAGTGGCAGGTTAGGGTATTAGGTCTGCGTTGTGCCGAGGTTGATAGCCTTAAGTAGAGTTTAGACAATGGTTTGTATGCAATGGTTTGGCTAGGGCTGATCCTGCCTCAGGCAGGGGGTTGGACTAGATGACCTGTAGAGGTCCTTTCCAGCCCTACTTCTCTATGATTCCATGACAATGCATGGTGTGTTTCAATTTGCATTTATTAAAAAAAGAAGAAGAACAAGCTGAATTCTGCCTTTTCAGCTGCTTCCTGGAGAGCATCCTCTCTGAGCTGTAGCTAAAGTTTAAAATTATTTGCTTACTATCTGTTTGTATTCTCAGTAGACTCTAACCCCTGAATGAGAAACACCAAACCTACTTTTGTGGTGAAGGCTAAGAAAAGTTTTGTACATGAGGAGGGGTGTACAAAACTTTAAAAAGCTGCAGTGCTTTCTCCACAAAATTCCAGCACTTACCTCTTGAATGCAGAGAGACATGTAAGCACTTGCAAGTAAAAAGACCTATATACATTTGATTTTATTACATTCTCTGACTTTTGTCCCAAATGATCCTGAAAACAGATGAACATAGATTGCTCAACTTGCCCATACAATTAAATATTACAGAAATGTTTATTTTAGTGACTATAGGAAAAATACGTGTAAAGTGTTTTGAAAGCATCTTAATTGAAGGCAGTTCTGTTTGTGTCCTCGGTCCCAAAGAAACACTGAAAAGGCCACAGTAATTTTCAGAATAGAAGATCAATGGCAGTCAGTTGGAAAGTAAAGAATTTTGTGAGTTTCAGAATAACATCTGTGAGAGCATGTCCCTTCAGTTATGAAAATTAGGGCAAATAACCATTAATCTGGAACACTGCTTTTAAAAGACCACACCCAATACACTCCAGGCATTGTAGGGACATGGAGGGTGACATGCAGCAGAAAAGGAAAAAAAAAAACTATGCATGTCAGAATATTGGGAACAGGAAGAAGGGGAAAATTAAGAAATACAAAACAAATATAACTGTAAACCTAATGTAATTAATTCCCAAGCAATGCAAAGCAACCAGGGCTAATTAAAGAATCTTCCTCTAAAGGTTTAAAGGTGCAGAAATATCACATGGTAACATATTCTTTGGGGGGTTTTGCCTGTTTTGAGGGACTTTGTTGGTCAAATGTGTGGTATTCTTGAGTAGAGTATTAAGTTATCAGTCACTTAAAGTAAAACTCATTATACATATGTAATTTCCCCCAGAACAGGCACCCTAAATCTAGAAAATGTAGTTAAAGATTGGAAATGTATTCTTGAAGCATTTACAGTCTTTACTCAGCCATCAAGTGACAGCATTAGTAGTAAAATGGAAAAACAATATAATGTACATATAAATCAGTATAGTATAATCTAGTATTATAAATATTTGAGCATTAATCATTCCTGAATGGTTGTTGCCAGTATCACAAGGCAAAACTGAGGTAGTTTAGATGCTGTATCTATGCATTGCTCACCCTGATTTTTGTTTTGTGACAATTTAACCTTAATTCTTAGTTTCCTAAGCTTTCAATGTTTGTTTTGTGAATAATTGCAATACCATTTATTATGTTGCACCCTAAATTACTAATAGTACACTAATACACACTCATTTTTAATTCCATTTAAATATAGCTATTGTCTTCAGCTTAATAGGCGCTGTATCCACTGGATAGGTTTATTCAGCTGTATTTTGCACAAAATTCCATTCCTGACTTTTCTATAAAAAAAATTTCAACAAGAATTAAGTGCTCAATACTTTCCATGTCCTATAATATGAGGGCACCCTGCATCATTCAGAGTATTTTTTTCTAATTATGTTGAGTTTAATTTTAAATTCTGTCCAGTATTTTTAAGCAGTTGGATACCACCAGTAGCCACTACATTCAGATTGCACATTATGTTATTAACATTAGCATGTGGCAAAGTTACATTTTACTGAAATACAAAGTTACTGTGAATTAAGAAAAGAAGGAAATAATCTTCTTGACATGACTTGAGTATAAAGTCCTACCAGTTAGCCCCAGGGAGACTCTGGTCATGCTGCCTGTAAGTCAACATATATAAAATAACTGGCATTACACAATACTAAACATCTCATCTCTGAGGGACAAGGAAATCCAAATGAAATAAGAAGTAATATGCAAAACAGAATTTCCCCGTAATCTGGAAACGGTCTGTGTATGTTAGTTTTCCCTGTTTTCCAGACATAAGTCAAGAGTTGTTTCATTTGATCATCATAAGGTTTAACAGCACTACATTTTTATCGGAATTTAATTTTATCGGGCACTTAATTCTTGCTGAGAACATTTTATAGCAAAG